CCCATCCCCCACAAGAAAATTCCAAACAAACAAGGGTAAGCAAACAATAGTTCAGGTGAGAAAGACCATAAAATCTATATTATAGTCAAGAAAGACATTACAGTATATATATATACTCCCAAAAACATGAATGCTTTTCCCTAAAAAATGAGATCCAATACGAGTGAGGTCCAATACCAGAGACAAAGAGACAAGATCGGGCCCAACAAATACGAAGTTATACCGTATATTTCTACTCTTAAGTCATGTTAATTCAAATCTGGATATTACAACTCATCATAATGGCGTCCAAAACATTCAATCAATCTTTATCTGATGCGCGACTGTTCTAGATTTCAATGCTGAGTACCCGCTAGCATGTCTGAAATCCACCCCCACCCCCTCCCCAAAATATATCCGTGACCAACAACAACAAAAAAGAACCAATTTGGAGTCAAATTCCCCCCATCCCCTCTCCCTGTAGTATACGTGGGGTGTTGTAGGCTAGGCCTAGTATTGATGGGTCAAAATTTGAACTGTACAGATTCGGTGACAAAGCGACTAAATTTTGAAATTATATACATGTAAATTTTAGGCCTGTTCTGTCGATTTGCGTGATCAGTGGATCGCGCAAAAATTCATCGATTCTTGAGCATTCTGTAGATCGGTGGATTGCGCAGCGTTTTTTGTGCATCTTATAAAACCGCTAAATACTAGACTAGAAAGCTCAAATGTGGCATCCTATCTGTTTTTTATGGTCTTTCAGCGTTGTGATCGTTGGTGCCTCCTCCAGGCCTGACACCTGCCTGAAGGAGGATGAAATAGATTATAATATCTAGGTAAGTTATTTAGTCATACGGATGACGTTAACTTCCCCTTAGTGTAATGTCAACAATATAGATGGACGCTCATCTGATGTTAACACCTTATTTCATAGCAGAAAAAAGAAAGACTCGGCACTCGGGTAAGATCTAACATCCGTTGCGCATTCTATGGATCTATGCGGGTGCTGTTCACCGGGGAAGCGACCTCGTAAAATCCGAGATCGCTGTTAAGTGCTCGCTGAATCCGGTTTACTTTATCTAAATTTATCTAAATTCCCGGAAACCATTCATTGCACCTGCATCGAGAACAATTATTCACTTAGCCGATTGCATGCCACCAATCAGCGGCCTTTTTAAAATACCAACACATGTGTTGTTGGCACGCGCACGTGTCAACTCTGGCATATTGTAGCTGTATTAAATTAGTGTTATTCATCAGTTCATGTCCTATCATCATCATCATCATCACTCTGCGCCCCTCGGGGACTCATGCGTGTTGATCTAGTTTCATTTGTCAGTGCGATCATTCATTTCATTCCGTTCTAATCACTGTCTTGTGTTTTCCATTTCATTTCAGTTGATGTCGTCATCACTTGTAACCCCGTTGAATTATTAAAAGCTCATTGATGTTATCCGACAAGAGATGAGTCATTCTTTACATGTGTCGGGGTCGGAAGGGCGGCCTGCTCACGTGTGGCTGTGTGTGCGTGTCGGGGAGGGGGGGGGAGGTGTGGTCTGGGCGTTGAACGTATAAAAATACGTTAGTCTTTTTCCCCCTGGGCAACTGATCAATATTACAATGATTATAAGTTTTGACGTAGATCTACGTTATGAATTGTACGCCGGTCTATGGAATCAAAAGTTGCCACAACTTTTTGGTAAATAATCGAGATGACACAGGCGTGTGTATTTGAACGAATCCATCGGTTTTTTTTACACAGCTCATAATATGCAGGCGTTTCAGGCACTACTTGTGACTTCTCTTGTACATTACTTGCTCAGTGTCTGTAATTATCATTATCAGGACAAAACCTCGTGAACACTCTGATTCAACAAGATTTTCGGTCAGGCCCGACGACCTCGTTGAATCCGAGTTCCACTGTACTGGCTTTGCCCCCCTGACCTAACCAAACCGTGGCGG